TAAGGGCAGGAAGGAATAGTATTGGGGTAATCACTATCAACTCCTTGTGTTGGGACTTATGATCCTAGAGGTTAGCAACCTTTTGTCTTTTCTTTGGTAACCAGCCCTCATCTTCTCAACCCTATCAGTCATTATCTATACTGACTTCCAGACCTTCTCTCCCCTGCCTCAGTTTGTTGAGGAATGTGACATTTCCTGTCCTTCAAGCTGGGGGTGGGGGACAGTTGTAGGCAGATTGCTTTTTGGCAGAGAAAATGTAGGGAGTCGATACAGTGGGCTTATTTTATAGATTATTCTCTTAACTTCCTACCATCCTCATCTGTCCCCTTACATAGTCATCCTGGGAAGTATAGGTGAGGTTTGAGATTTGGAAAGAAGTGGTTATATTCATCAACTTTCTGTTACTGTAACAAAATGCCTCAGATAATCAGCTTATAAAGTTAATGGATTTATTGTGGCTCATGGTTTTGGAGTTTCCAGTCCATGATTATTTGGGTCCATTGCTTTGAGCCTGTGATAATAAAACTGGACTGGTAGTTCAGCTCTTAGTAATCATGCAGGCAGCACACTTAACTCATTGCCAAGGAGGAAGGGAAAGGAGCCAGAGTCCCCCAGTCCCTTTCATGGGCATACCCCCTATGACCTAAGGACCTCCCACTTGATCCTGTCTCCCAGTGGTGCCACCTAGGACCAAGCCTTTTTTATACATGGAAACATTTGGGAAACATTCAAGATCCAAACTATTACAGTGGGCTTGCTTTTAAAAACACATTCTTGCTTCTATAAAGGCTTAATTTTCAAGACAAGAACAGTGACTTTCCATTCCCCTAAGAATTAGGTTACAGCCTGCATGATTACTAAGAGCTGATATATCAATCCAGTTTTATTACCTTTAACTTGTTTCTATCAGGGAAAAGATCTCCAAGATGGGAATCAATATTTCTTTCTTCCAAATTTAGAGTTGTTTGTCTCTGAAAAATTCTAATAAACTAGTTTGTTTATTTCTGAATATATAATTTCATGTTAACTTAGGAGAAAAGGCAAAGAAATAGGTTCCTGTCACTCTGTAAATATAATCAGCCCTCCATATCTACAGGTTTTAAATCTTAGGATTCAATCAACCAATGATTGAAAAGATTTAGGAAAAAATTCACATGTGCACTGAATTTGTACATAACTTTTTAAATTGTTAATGCCTAAATAATGTAATATAATGTCTATTTACATAGTATTTATAATACCTAAAGCAATCTAGAGATGATTTGAAGTACATGGAAGAATGTGCCTAGGTTATATGCAAATACATCATTTTATAAGAGGGATTTGAGCATCTATGGCTTTTATGACCTAGGGGTATTCTACTACTGAGCCACATACCCAGCTACCTGCCCTTTTATTGAGTCAAAGTCTTGCTAAGTAGCTGAGGTTGGCCTCTAACTTGCCTCATCCTCCCAAATTGCTGGGATTTCAGGTATGTGTCACACACCACACCCTGTGGATTTTGATATCTTGATTTGGTGTGTGGGTGGTTCCTGGAACCAGTCCCTTGGAGAATACTGAGAGATAACTGTATAAATCACAGTTTTCTACCAAAATTATACCTACCAATGACTGATTTGGCCAAAGTGAATAAGCATCCATGAGACCAAAACAGGTCAGTCATTTATAAGAAACCAGGGTTTACATCCAGAGAGGGAGCAAAAAGAGCCCTTCCAAAAAGAGCCCTTCACTCTTAAAGATGACCAAAATAAAGAAAAGCTTTGTTAGCTGCTAAAAGAGTATAACCTACATTTTTGTCCAGGCATTTTGTGTGTGTGTGTGTGTGTGTGTGTGTGTGTGTGTGTGTGTTACTGGGAATTGAACTCAGGGGCACATCCCCAGCCCTATTTTTTATTTTATTTAGAGACAGGGTCTCATTGAGTTGCTTAGTGCTTCGTTAAGTTACTGATGCTGGCTTTGAACTCTAGATCCTCCTGTCTCAGCCTCCCAAGCTGCTGTATTATAGGTGTGCGCCACCGTGCCTGGCAAGAACAGATGTTTTAAAAAAGCAAACCAGACTCCTAAATCTCTGTTTTCCTATCTTATTTTGTGATCTCTTTCCCCCATATTCCTGACCCTATTGTGCCATATACTAAGAGGCCCTCATTGGAGACCAAACTGATATGGTTACTTGACTTTGGACTTTCAGCTCCACCCAAAATAAATTTGTAAAATAAATTTAAAAGTACCCAGGCTTAGGTATTTTGTTATAGCAATAGAAAACAAACTAAGATACCTCCCTTTCTCCACCAGGCATTGCAGGTAAAAAAGCAGTATGATAGTAGAAGCAAATGTGATTCCATTTTGTTTTATGACTTCATCCATGCCAAGTAGAAGGGTCATGACCAAGGCAAAATGTTCTTTTCCTTTTGCTATAGAAACCTTTAAGAACACGAACTACATAATGGGACATTGTTTCTGTAACTAGGATAACGAGGCTCTGTTTCTGTAACTGGGGTGACTGGGCTAGAGATTAGCTGATAGCAACCTTTTGTCTTTTCTTTGGTAACCAGCCCTCATCTTCTCAACCCCATCAGTCATTATCTATACTGATTTCCAGAACCTCTCTCCCCTGCCTCAGTTTGTTGAGGAATGTGATTGGTTAGCCTTCCCGCCACTTGAGTGCACTCCCCCACTTCTGTAACCTGGCTTGCTTGCATTGGCTAGACCCCCGAACATCCCTTTTGCGTTTTCAGGCTTATAAGGAGTGCCCTTGCAATTGTTCGGGGCTCATCAGGGGAACAGCTTTATGTTCTGGTCAGCCACCACCAGTGTGCTTCAATAAAGGCTTGATTTGATTACACGTGAGTGATCTGGAAGTTAGTTTATGAAACCCCGGGATGAAGCTTTAACTATAACAGCAGGAAGATCTCATTTTGGTTAAGAATTCTTAGTGTTTCTGTTTGCTTCCACCAGGATTTCCTCTATAGGGCTCAAGAGTGAGTAAAGTATCTCAGAATCTTTTGTCTCAGCAAATACAGGAGGAGAAAACAATTTTTTTCTCAACCCTCATAAATTAATAGTTGGGGATATTCTTAAGACACATTAATAAGAGAAAAACGAGTAATGTGTGTAGTGCACATCATGTGGGAGAAAAGCAGCACAAGATGTTCAAAGCAGTGGCTTGGAATGTCTTAAATTTTATTATTTTTTCCTATTTTTAAAATTTTTATTTTTTTACTTGCTCTTATTATACATGACAGCAGAATGCATTTTGATTCACTATACACAAATGGAGCACAACTTTTCATTTCTCTGGTTGTACATGATGTGGAGACTCACCACATGTGCAGTCATACATATACCTAAGGTAATGATGTAATGATATTATTCTCATCCCACCATCTTTCCTACCCTCATAGTAATAAATCTCAGAGTAATGACAAGACAAAGGAGCAGGTAGTTTTAGGCTTTAGTGGTGAAAAAACTGAGAAGGTAAGTTTGTGGGAAGAAAGTAGGCTTACAGCTTGATCTGCTAAGGTCTGAGTTGATAAGACTATCTCCAATATATGAAGATTTAAATTCTGTCTTTAGGTGGGAAAAGAGGGAGGGGAGGTAGAAAGACCTTCTGTTTTATTAATTTTCTATATCTTTAGACAGGAAAATCAGAGTCCTTCTGCATTTTAACAATCCTCAGTAATTTAGGGAGAAATATTTTGGTTTCAATATGGTAGGTGAACCTTGAAGCTGTAAGCTATTTTAAGAGCAATTACCAATCTCTAGAAATCTAGGGCATGATTCAAGGAATGCAAGACCTGAGCCTATGGAAGGATGTGAGAGAATGTCCTATAGAGCTAAGGTCTCTAAAGGTCTGGCCCCTCAATGAAAGGGTTACCTTAAGAAAAGCTACCCCTCTAATGGAGAAAAGATTGGAAAACCTACCTGCCTTAACCTCTACTCTAGGAGAATAGAAAAGATCTAAGAATAGGCTGGTAGTGTAGTTCAGTGGTACAGCACATGCCTAGCATTCTGAAGACCATGAGTTCCATCCCCAGCATCACAAAAAAAAAATTTCAAAACTAAGAATTCATAACCACAAGCAAGTCTTGATATTCCTAATTGCCTACAGGAAACTCAAACTGAAAAAATCTATTTAAACTAATCTTCTTGTCTTTATTGACTGCTTACTGTATTCCATTTGAATCCAGAAGAAGTGTAAATTTGTAACTCTTTAAGACATAGTTTTAGATCTCACTCAAATGGCTTCACAGATAGTTAATTCTGAGCTTGAACTATGCAAAGAATAGAAAAAAGAACCACACTCTAACTATTCTAAAAAGCTGGAATACCTGGGCATAGTGTGGTGCATGCTTATAATCCAAACAGTTTGGGAGGCTGAGGTTGGAAGATCACAAGATCGAGGCTAGCCTCAGCAACTTAGTGAGGCCCTAAGCAATATAAACCCTGTCTTAAAATAAAAAATAAATAAGGGCTGGGGATGTAGCTCAGTGGTACCTCTGAGTTCAATTCCAAGTACCAATAAAGAAAAGGAGGGGGAAAAAGCCAATATGACTTTGGCAACAACCAAAAGAGGGATAATACAAGAAATGATAATTAAGGGTTAATCCTATATTTGAGCATAAATGTAAAAACCCTAAAGGAATTGTTAGCTGAATCCTGTGATTTATGAAAAATGTAATACATCATAGTGAAGTTGAACCTCCACGAGAAATGTAAAGCTGACTTTACAGCAGAAAATCTAATGTTACTTATTGCATTAAAGCAGGAAGTCATCTCAGTAAGTGTGGAAATGAATTTAAAATTCATTGAAAATAGTAAAATCTTAGCCAGTTGGAAACAGCAAAAAACTCTAATCTGTTAAAAATATATCCCATATAAAAATATATGGCAGGAGATGGGGGCTAGGGTTGTGGCTCAGTGGTAAAGCACTTGCCTCGCACGTGTGCCGCCCTAGGTTCGATCCTCAGCACCACATAAAAATAAATAAAACGAAGGTATTGTGTCCAACTACAACTAAATATAAATACACACACACACACACACACACATCTGTCATCCCAGGGAGGCTGAGGGAGGAGGATTGCAAGTTTGAGGCCAATCTTGGCAACTTAGTAAGACCCTGTCTCAAAATTATTTTTAAAGAGGGCTGGGGATATAGTTCAATGGTAGAATATGTGCCTAGCATGCTCCCTGGGGATATAGATCCTGGGTTTGACCCCACCCCACTCCTCCAAAAAAATGTACCAAAAACCACAACAAACTTTTTGGGGTACTGGAATTGAACCCAGGAATGCTCTACCATTGTGATACAGCCTTTCCCCCCCCCTTGTGTGGGAGGGGGATGGAGGTATTGGGATTGAACTCAGAGGTCACACCCCTAGCCCTTTTTATTTTATTCTGAGACTATTTCACTAAATTGGTAGGGCTGGTCTTGAAATTGTAATCCTCCTGCCTCAGCCTCCCAAGTCACTGGTAATGCAGGCATGTATTACCATATCTGGCTACAACACAATAGTAAGATGTTTGAAACATTCCCTTTAAGGTAAGGAGACAAGGATTATTACTGTTGTCACTCCTTTCAACATTTCACTAGAAGTTCTAGAAGACAAAGAAGGAACTAAATTTTGGTTTGTTTTGCAAATTATATGACTGTATTTATAGAAACCCCAATAAAATCTGTAGTCTTGTAGAATAAAAAATTCAGCATGTTGTTAGTATTAGATCAATAATAAATTTCAATCCTTTAGGCCAGTAATACATAAGCAAATATATAATTTTAAAATGGCTTTTTACAGTAGCAACAAAATGTGAAGTACTAAGGAATAAATCTAATAAAAGATGAAACTAACCAATATGGAAAGGATATATCTTTATTGAAAGACATTTTAATACATAAATGGAGACATACCATTTTTATAGGTATAATGGTTCTGTCATCAAAACATCTGTTCTCCCTAAATAAATCCAAATTCAATGTACGTTCAATAAAAATACTCACAGGTTTTTTCCTAGAACCTGAAAAACTGAAGAAATAGTGGAAGAGTAAAGGAATCAGAAAAGTCAAAGTAATATAAATGCATAAAAACAGTAGGGAGAATTGACTGAAAAGCTATCAAAGTTTATTAAAACCTTGACAGTATGGCAGGGCTGGGGAATATAGCTCAGCTGGTAGAGTGCTTGCCTCCTATGCAGAAAGCCCTGGGTTCAATCCCCAGCACCACACACAGAAAACCAGTACACGAAGGGACAAACAAAGGAGAATGGAGAACCTGGTAACAGATCCCCACATATAATAATTCATGACTGCAATGCAGTGGTGAGATCACAATCAGTGAGAGAAAGAATGGACTAGTCAGTAACTGATAGAAAATTAAGGGAAAAAATTATAACTCTGACTTTAAAAAATCAAGAAGAACAAAACACCCCTACCTTATAAATCCAGGTGGGTTAAAAACCTAAATGTGACAAATACTTATAGATAGAAGGAAATAACAGAAGTAGGGAAGAATTTCCTAAGACATAAAAAGCACAGACAAAAAAGTAATAGGTAAATATTTTATATTAAAATAAAACTTAAAAAAAAGATAATATTGTCATATATTTAAAAACATCTAATAATTTAGAGCTATGTGCTTTAATATTAAGGAAGAGACTTTGACATCTTCTAATAAAACTGAAGATTTATATTATTTACTACTTGCCTTTCCCCACTTAAGCTAAACCCTAGAAAATTGTAATCACAGAAACATGGGCAAAAAGTTGACAGGCTCATTTGTTTTTAGTAGCAAAATGTTGGTAACCTAATATCCATTTGAGAAGAATATATAACAATAGTGGTATATTTACATAGTGGAATGAAAGGAAATTAACTGAAGTAAAACTTGCCAGCACGGATAAATCTCACAGCAAACAAAGAAAGGAACCCACAGCATACAAACACTATAATGCCATTTGTATAAAATATAAAACCATGTAGAATTAAACATGGTTTGATCATACAAACATAATAACTTTATGGAGAAAACCTACTAAGTTTAAAGTTCAGAATAGTGGTTATTTTTGATGAGAGAACTGGAATTCAGGGGCTAAAAGAAGCACCTTAGAGGTGATAAAGTTTTTTTTTTTTTCAATGCTGGGAATTGAACCCAGAGTGTTGCACGTTAGGCAAGTGTTCTGCCACTGAGCTATACCCACAGCCCAAGGTTTTACTTCTTAAGTTGTGCTGCAGGGGCATGAGTTGCTACATCATAGTATTCCTTAATTCTTTTATATATAATAATTCATACTTTAAAAATTTAGCTAGGCATGGTGACATACATCTATAATCTCAGCAACTCATGAGGCTGAAGCAAGAGGATCACAAATTCAAGGCCAGCTTGGGCAACTTAGCAAGA